TGCTGCAGCGTGATGGAGCGAGGCGCAGTTGGCCCTGGCGGTCTTCAGGTTGTCTGGAGGCCCCAGCAGCAGCTGCCATGGCACCACACGCCCGCGAGGACCCCCCAGTTATTGGACGCACGACAGGCAGGGCATGGCAGCGACCCGCGGGAACTGCTCGGCCACCCAGGTCGATGCCCGCTGAGGCCCGCTTGTGCCCTCGGCGGGCAAGGCAGCCAGGCCGCAGCGGGGCCCGTTGGAGGCGGTGCGGCTGGGTCGCTGCCCACGAGGCCGAGGGTGGGGGCGGCCACGAGTCCAGGACACCTGCTGTCCCCAGGCAGGCCAGGACCATCCGGGCAAGCGCTCGCCAGGCCTCAGTCGAACCACACCTCGCTGCAGCGGGGGCAGTGGAGCACCAGGTTGGCAGGTACTCGGACTGAGGCTGTGAAGCAGCCGTGGTGGCACAGCCCCAGCGCCCAGGACTCCCCAGTGACGCCGCAGAGGTCGACATTGGTGCAGGCCTCCCAGTCATCTCCGTCCATCCAGGGTGCGGACGACAGGGAGACGCCGCCGAAGGTAGACCTCGTTAGATCTCATCACGGGCCTGACACTAGGCCTGGCACGCCGTCGGAGACCTTTCCTGGCGTCGGGGACTGTCTGCCCCATAGCCGCGGGGACCTGCGTCAGGGAGTTCCAACACCTCAGGGGCGCGGCTTTGGGACCGACCTGATGTCGTCGCTTCAGCACTCACGCCGGACGCTGCAGCAGCTGCAGGCCCGCATCGAGGGCGGGGCCAGGCGGTGCTCACTCGGCCACACGTCTGGGAGCCGCGCCACGCGCGGCGTGTCTCTCCAGGCCTCCGAAGAGCCGCCGAGTATCGCAAGCTCGGTGCTCCGCATGGGTGGCTGGACGCCCTGTGGGGATAGTCGCGAGGCTGGTGGGTTTCCCGCCGGGGCGCCGGAGACCGCGGAGGCCGCCGCGCCTGCAGCGATGTCAGTGAGCCTGCCGGAGTTTTCGGTCACGAGCCCCTTCTTGGGCGCCGCAGCTGCGGGGCAGTCCCTGCGGGGACTGTCGAAGCCCCTGCAGCACGCGCTCGGCTTCCTCCGGACGGTCGCGGCGCCGCCTGTCGTGCGCGCGGGCCACGGGAGGGCGGTGCTGCCCGCAGCAGTGGCATCGCTCGCCCACAGGCCAACGCTCGTGCTCGACCTGGACGAGACGCTGGTGCACTGCCACCGCGGGCCTGGGCGAGCCTGCTGGGCGCAGGCGCCTCCAGGCTCAGGCCGCGGGGACGGCGCGCTGCCGCTCGGGGTGGTGGCCCCAGCCACGGACCTCGTCGTGGAGTTCGACGACGTGCCCAGAGGCGCCGCCGGGGCCGTAGCCTTCCGGCCAGGCGTGCGGCAGTTCCTGGAGGCGGCCTCCCGGTCTTTCGAGGTGGTCGTCTTCACCGCGTCGGTGCAGCTCTACGCGGACAAGGTGATCGACGCACTGGACCCATCTGGCTGCTGCGTCGCCCACCGTTTATCCGAAGACGCCTTGGGCGAGTCACCGCCGCCCCTTGCCTTCTAGAGACGCCTGTGTGGTGATAATGTCTGCCGAAGGTCCACCCATGCCAGATGGCTGCGTGCTAGCCCAGTCGTTGGGGAAATCACTGGGGGTTCACCAGGGAAGGGCCGTTTGGGGCCTTCTTGGGGCTGGTTTGGGGCTCCTGTTTGGCCTTTCGGGTCTTCTTGGGGACTCCTTTTTGGCCGTCTTGTGACGCTTTCGGGTCGTCTTTGGCGCCCTTGGGCTGTCTGGCGCCTTCGGAGGTCATCCTGGGGGCCTCTCTGGCCGTCTTGGGGGTGTCTTGGGGTCTTGTGGCTGTCTGCCTTTTTTTAGTTATCTCGGGGGGCCTCCTCGGCAGTCCTGGACGATCTTCATGCAGAAAGGAGAAAGTCCGCTCATCATTGAAAGCCTGCGCAACATCAATAACGTTTGCCTCTGGAGGCCCTCCAGGGGGACCTCTGGGAGCCTTTTCGACGGCCTCTTTGACCGTCTTGAGGCCATCTTGGGGCGTCTTCGGGCCGTCCGGGGCCTTCTTGGAACCCTTTCGAAGCCGTCTTGGGCGGAAAAGCCATTGCAGACCGTCCTTTGTGGGCTCTTCCGCGGGGCCGGCGGGACATGTCGACCGCCACTGGGAACAGTTTGGCAGGGCCTCACGTATTCTATACCTTGGCACGTCAATCATATTCCGGCAGGGTAAGTGTGCGGCGGATCTAGTGGCCTACGACCCATCCTACCACCTTGCTTGCCTTGGCCAAGTACAGGAGTTCTCTTGAATGATTCTGGGAGCCTGTTGAGACCTCTTGGGGCCACTCGGGGGCCTCTTTGGGGCAACTTGGGTTTTTTTTTGGGGCCTCCAGAGGGCCTCTGGAGGTCCCTCGGGGGCGATCTTAGGCTGGCGGGCTCAAAATGGCAGTTGGAGGTCCCTCTTGGGCCTGTCTTGGGTGCCTCTTGGCGGCCTCGAGCCCTCCTGGAGCGATCGGAGCCTTTTTGGTCAGTCTTGGACGCTCTTGAGGCCGAAACGCTGAAATGCTTGAATCTAGAACCTGAATGTTAATGGTTTTGTCCTCTTGGGCCAGTCTCTGGACGTCAGAGACTGCTAAAGAGAGCCCCCAAAGAGCCCACCGACAGTCATTGGGGCTATCTTAAGAACCGTGGAAAAGTGGACTCGCAATCGCGCTCCCGAGGCTTCCAGAACAGTCGCGCGAGAAGTCCCAGAAGCATCCCGAAATTCTTTCAGCTGGCGTCCGGCGCCATTGAAAAGCTGAGCATCTGCAGTACTTTTTTACAGGGTGCTCTAAGGAACGTGCGGACTCTCAACTCAGTGCCCACGGCACGGTGGCGGATACCGCGAACACTGCACGGAGCATCGCGGGGCTTTTTTCAAAGACCTGGGGCTCTTGGGAAGGCCGCTCGCCAAGTGCATCTTGGTGGACAACTCTCCCATATCGGTGGCGTGCAACGTCGACAACGGCATCCTCTGCCGCAGCTGGTTCGGCGATCCTGGCGACCGAGAGCTCGTGGACCTTCTGGACCTCCTGGAGGCCTTCCGGGCCAGCGGCGTGGACGCCGACCGCTTCCTCGCGGACCGCTACGGCCTCCGCAGCTTCTTTGAGGCCCTGCGCTCGGCCGAGCCCGAGCGGCCGCCGCCTCCCCCCTGAGCAGCGGTGCTGCGGCGCTGGCTGCCGGCGCCGCGGCCGCGGCCGCCTGGGCCAGCGTTCGGCGGCGCCGTGCGTTCTGCGGGCCCAGGCCCCCGACGTCATGATTGATCTTGGGCTTGTGCCACACCGCCGACCCCTTGGGGAACTGGCGGTTGTGGTGTGTTGCTCCTGAGGGCCTCTTGGGCGCCTTTTCGGGGTTTCTTGGTGCCCTTTTGGGGGCTTCTTGGAGCTTCGTGGAGGCTTCTTCGGGGCCTGGGAGGCCGAGGGCTCGAACTGCGGGCTCGGGTTCCCTTCTTCATGAAGTCGATTCGCAAAGGTCTCGACCCATTCCCCGGGACTGGTTCTTCATCCTGAGGCGTTTTGTTGGCCCGGCAGGGCTCCCTGGAGGCCGCACACAGCGAAGAACCTCCCGTCGTGATCCATCTCATGCCTCGAGGGGTCTGGGGAAGGCCCGCCGCCCCGTGCAAGAAACAGAAATGCGCGCCGCCCGCTCGGCGGGGCGCCCACCTCGAGGCCGTCGAGGCATGGGGTCCGAGCAGACTGGGTCGGAGGATTGCACCGCATTGCCGATACATCGCCGATGCATTGCCGACGTCGCCAATGCGTCGCCGATGCATCGCCCGATGCATCGGCGACGTGTCGGCGATGCGGTGCAATCTTCCGACCCAATCTATTCGGACCTCTATCAAGGAGGCCTCGAGGTGGGCGCCCTGCTGGGCGGGCCGAGCGCGTTTACGTTTCTTGCCCGGGGCAGCGAGTCTTCCCAGAATTCTCGAGGCATGAACAAGTCACGACGGGAGGTTCTTCGCTCTTTTCGGCGTCTGGGGACCTCTGCTGGGCCTCGGGACCAGCAGAAACGCCTCAGGATGAAGAACTGGTCCCGGGGAACGGGTCGAGACCTTTGGGGGTGGTCGACATCTTGAACAACTCATGACGTCGGGGGCCTGGGTGTGCGCCGCGCCGAGCGGGCGCCGCGCAGTTCCGGAATCTCGCCCGGGGCGGCGGGCCTTCTCCTGTCCCGCGCCCCGCTCCCCCAGGCCTCCCCCCACCCTCGCCATTACCTGGTGACTAAGAACGGGTGCGGCTACGCCGGGGTGCGGTTTGCGATCGGCGCTGTTGGGGCCAGGGGGGCACGGCACTGTCCTCGTTGGGCCTCCTCGAGTCGCGGCGAAGAACTCTGCCGAGGTCTTCGCCCGCCCCCCAGGGTGCTGGTTGCAGGCCACACCCTCTGCAAACCGCACCCTTCGGAGTCGCCGTCACAAAAGAGGCGGGTTCTGACGGAAACGGGCTCTGAGGTTTTTCGCCGTTCCTGGCCTCCCCGGGCCCTCCACGGCCCCAGGACCGTCAGAAAACGACTCGGGATGAAGAGACGGTCTTGGGGGAAGGCCCTGGGGTCCAGGACTCGTTTCCATCAGGACCCCTTCCCTTCCTGCTAATTCCCTAGGGACGAAGCACGGCGACCCTGACGAATCCATGCCGCGGGGCCTCGTCGATGCAGATCCTGGTCGTGGTTCATGCCGGCCGTCGCCGATCCGCGAGGAGGAAGCGCGAAGTGGCGATGGCCAAGGTGGATGGCGACCAAGAACGACTCTGACGCCTCCTGGTCCAGGCTCGGTCATGGCCACCGTTCTCTTTCCCTCCATGCTCTCCCTCCCTCGGTGCACCCCGCGCCCTCCCTGTGCCTGGAGTACCCCCCCCTCCGTTAGACGTTAGACATTCTGTGCCAGACATGCACAGGGCCGCTGCTTGTGGCCCGCTTCCTGCGGGCCGCCGGCCCGGCACGGTTGCGCCTCGAGCTGCCCAGTCCTCGGGGGCGCGCGGCTAGGTGGTCGGCGGCGCGCCGAAGAGAGGGCAGGGCGCGAGGGGCGTCCTCCTAGATCTCCGACGATGCGTCGTCAATCTGGGCGCTTTTCCTGGATTTCGGCTCCTGGGGCGCGTCCTCGGGCCCCTGCACCATCAGAATGGTTCCAGGGCGAACAGCTGCGCCCTGGGAGGGGGTCGGGGTCTTTGACGCCGCGCATGGAAAGGAATCGTCTCGCTGGGTGTCGGGGCTTCCAGGGAGGCGTCCCGCTCCTCAGAGGCACTTTTGCCTTCTCAGAGGCCTCCCCGGAAGCCTCTCAGACGGGGCCGGGCCCGTTCAAGAGCCCCCCTTTTGCCTTCCTCGGATGCCGCCCCCCCGCCCCGCCCCGCCCCCGTCGGCGCGCCGCCCTTGTGGAGCAAATTCATTTGGGCACGCTCGGTGTGTATATCGGCCGATGTTCTCACATCGCCGTGCTGAGCTCCAGCAGTGGGGACGAGCGACGTGCGACGAGGGAGTGAGGAAGGGGCAGGGCTCGAGCTTGGCCTTGGTATTCTTCCTTTCCAGGGCGCTTCTCCGACTTTTGCTTTTAGTTCGAACGAATTCAGGGTGTGCGATGCACTAGTTAGTTCTCATCTGCGGTTGCGCCTTGACCTTGGCGCCCTGGATGTCGTCGACTGGGTCTTAACCAGTGCCTTGGCTGTGCGCCGTGCACTCAGACCGCACCACCGTGGTCCAAGTGCGAAGTGAAATAACCGCTAAGCTGGGCAGATGACGTTCGGTGTTGGCAGCCCCCAAGGTCGGTTGTTTCCCCGTACGGCCTCGGCAGGGAAAAGGACAGGAGTCCTGGCCTGTCTCCTGCCGGGATCGTACGGGGCGCGGCGTGTCCTGCCCTTTCGGAGGTCTCTCTCGTCCTGCCGCCTGGTCCTGGCCGCCAGGTGAGCCGATAGTGCCGACCAGCCTGAACCAGGCGGCAGGGAGAAGCAACCTCCGCAGAGGGCAGGGGGACGGGGGGTGGCGGAGGGCGAGGCGGGCCGGCGTGCGCTGCGGCCGCCTGCGGGCACCTCTCCCCTGCATCGTCGAGCCCTTCGCTGCGCTTCTGGGCGGCTCATGTTCTCGCCCCTGCAGTCGCCGTCGTCGTCGTCGTCGTCGTCGTCGGTCGTCGTCGTCGTCGTCGTCGTCGTCGTCGTCGTCGTCGTCGTCGTCCCTCTTCTCCCCCTTTGTAGTCATTTTGGCTCAAACCCTGGCTCGCTGGAGTGTGCTGCATATTCGCTGTTCGATGTTGGGTACAAGGATCTTGTTTTCCTCATCGTTCTTGCTGGCGCGCTGCGCACAGGCGTGTGAGCAAATCCTCCTCTATAGCATTGTCAAGTTCGCGATCGGGACGACTTCCCATCGACCTCGCCAGCCGTACACAGTGGAGGAGTTGGCCTGATGTGAATACCGCACCCACCAAAGCGAATTATGCGAACAAACTTCGCTGATGGCTGGCCTCCAGCACCGTCCACAGCGTCAACTAGCCCGTGCCTGGTTCCCGACTGGTGGGCGCGGCAGTCGCTACTGTGAGTGCTAGTGGTCCTATCCCTGGGCCACAATTGCTTGGCGGGCTAACTACACGTCCCGCAGCTATTCCCGCACCTTTAGATACTTCCCCCGCTGCGACTGGCATCAGATACTATGTCACCGCCGGTGCGTACAGTGGCGATGCTCTATGCTTTCGGCGCCGTAGGAGCGCATCACCCGCAACTATACGCAGAGCCAGTGTGCCTATTCTATGTCATGAGCTTCTGCAGCATGCTCGAGCAACATTCCAGTCGCTTGCAGAGAGAGAGAGAGAGAGCGCCACTGCTGACATTGTTGTCGCCAAGTTGCATAGCCGGCTCCTTCCGATCAGGGGCTAGTGATAGATATGAGAGGGGTCCTCTTCGATTTATTTTCGGCCCAACTCAAGGCTGCGAATGCTGAGGTGCCAACTGGCAAAGGAGGCCGCTGCCAAAGAGATGGCCATTGCAGCTTCTCAGGGGACGGGCTTGGAGGATGCTAACGCGGTGCCCAAGGTAGTGGCCAAGAGGGGTGACAAGGCAGCTCGCGCCAACTGCGTCGTGGTAAATCTCAAGGACGCGGCCTTGGCGCAGGCCGAGCAGGCCCGAAGTGGTTGGTGCCTCCGACTAACACCAAAAGCGACGCCGACCCAAGCAAGACCAGGGAGGACGTGGACGACGGCGTCAGACTCCAGACGGAGGCGGACGTGGTGGTGACTGCCAGGCTCCAGAGCGCGCGCTGGGATGAGAAACCGGAAACCGTGCTCCGCGTGGGCGTCCTCTTCCTGCTCCTCCTGATGCTCCTCTTCCTCTTCCTCCTCCTCCTCCTCGTCCTCCTCGTCCTCTTCCTCCTCCTCCTCGCGAACGAGCTGGCCTGGAGTGCGGCCAGACGCCGCCGCACGGAGTACTGCACCCCCGACTTCGCTGTTAGGCGCTTCGCGGCGGCTGGGATGACCATTTACTGGCGGTGTTTCTTTGACGG